CCATGGGACTATGATGCAGAGGTGAGAAGAAAAGGAAAAGGGAAGATGGAAGAAACAAGTGCCGCACAAGGCATGACCATGACCGATAGGGTTTACACACCTGAGCATTTGGGAGGAACAATTAAAGAAGCCGCTCCCAAACAACCTATCATCGAAACTGGCCCAGATGATCTTTGGAGAAAGGTGCAAGTAAGGGAGTACTCTGTAGTGGGTCATTTGAACCAAACCCTTGCTCAGATTTCCATTCTATCGCTGCTACAGAATTCTGAGACGCATAGGAATGCATTTATGAAAGTATTAAACGAAGCTTATGTGCAAAACAACATCACCAGTGGAGAGATGGCCAACATGGTAGGGCAAGTATTGGAGAGCCACAAGATCACCTTCCACGAAGACGAACTACCACCTGAAGGATTGAGTCACAACAGGGCACTGCACATCACAGTACAGTTTGAGGACAAATTCATAGCCAAAGTCCTAATAGATGGGGGTTCGAGCCTCAATATTTGTCCGTTGACTACTTTGAAAAGGTTGGGTAAGGATTTCCATGAGATACGAGCAGGGAGTATAAATGTGAAGGCATTTGATGGGTCTCAAAGGGCCAGAATTGGAGAAATCAACATGTTTGCAGATTGGCCCGACTTTGTTTGATGTTGAGTTTCAAGTATTGGACATATATGCTACATACAATTTGTTATTGGGGCGACCTTGGATACATGCTGCTGGAGCTGTAGCTTCTACGCTACACCAGGCCGTGAAGTTCGAATGGAATCATCAAGAGGTGATCATTCATGGAGACGGAATTAATCCTATTTACACCAATCAAACCGTTCCGGTTGTCGAGAATAGAAGGAAGCTGGGTGGAGAAACGTACCATCGCATCGAGCATGTCAGTGCAATAGAAAAAGACAAGTGGTGGAGTAATAAGATCGAAAGCATACTGTTATGGACAGGGTATGAACCCGGTAAGGGTCTCGGCAAGAATCTCTAGGGTATCACTAAGCCGATACAACCAAAACGTCACGGTACCACCTTTGGGCTTGGATATCAGTACACCTGGCAGGAGTACGATGATTGGTCGCCGCCATGGCGTGGTCCCTATAACCCTCTTGAACAACCAATACCGCATTTGCACCAGACGTTTCAACAAGCTGACGTGATATGGAAATCTGAAGAAGATGAGGCTTTAGCTGGCCTGAGAAAACTATTTTTGGACGATGAAGACATGGACTGCAATGCAATAGTTGAGGAGGAGGAGGAGGAAGGCCTTATAATTCAGACCGTGGGAAAGGGAGTTGTTCTCAAGAACTGGACTGCTGTAGCGTCCCGGGCCCGTCGAGTTCCTGGGTAGCCTGGCAATTCGCATGATCTATTTTTAAAAGCAATTTAAGCATTGAAGACATTTTTAGTATGTTGTTTTAGACGCATTTTGTTTTGAAATAATTGCTCGAGTCATCGAGCCGTACTTGTTTTGCTGTTCTCAAGATTTAATTAATACATTGCTATTTTAGTGTTTATTATTATCTTACATTTTTTCTCTCTACAACATTATTATTACTTATCCTGATGAACTCACGACTGTGACGTGTAATGAGACAACGCAACATAAGGACAATGACTTGGAAGAGATAGATGAAGAGGATATGATACCTGAGGAAATTGTTAGAGAAGTCGAGAATTTTGAGAATAAGCCTAAGTCCAACCTGGACGAAACTGAGATAGTCAACTTGGGAGATTCCGAAACAGCTAAAGAAACCCGCATAAGTATCCACTTGTCACCATCAGAAAAAGAAGAATACACCCGTTTCCTTAAGGAGTATGAGGACATTTTTGCATGGTCTTATGATGACATGACTGGTTTGAGCACGTCTATAGTGGCTCATAAACTATCTACCAATCCGATGTGTCTGCTTGTGAAACAGAAACTCAGAAAGTTCAAACCTGATATGAGTTTGAAAATCAAGGAGAAAGTCAGCAAGCAAATCAAAGCTAAGGTTCTCAGAGTGGTTGAATACCATAATTGGTTAGCCAACGTCGTGCAAGTTCCGAAGAAGGATGGGAAGGTCAGAGTATGTGTCGACTATCGAGATTTAAACAAAGCAAGTCACAAAGATGATTTTCCGTTACACAATATACACATAACGATTGACAACTGTGCCAAGCATGAACTCCAATCCTTTGTGGATTGCTCCGCGGGATACCATCAGATCTGGATGTAACTGAACTACGTTTGACCTGATTCCCGTTTAAGAGGGGATACGTAGGCAGCCTTGTGGGTTCAGTCACATCTTAATAAAATTTTCATTTTCCCCACAACCAGAAACTGGGACAGAATTTTGAGGAGGACCCTCAAAATTTCGGAACAAGTCCAGCTGAAGTCATCATATGCAAGACAGTCAGAGAATCAGTTAAGTAACTAGGGCAGAATTTTGAGGAGGACCCTCAAAATTACGGAGCAAATCCAGCAAACTTCGTCATATGCGGAACGGTCGAAGAATCGCTTATTAAACTGGGGCAGAATTTTGAGAAGGCCCTCAAAATTCTAATGCAAAGAAGTCGCAATGTCTCTAAAGTGTCGCAGTCTTTGGTTCATCTAATTTACTTGATATTGCATACTACTATGTTTTTAAATATCTATGTTTATCAAATGCATGCATACTTTTCGAAAACTTTATTTCTATGGCAGCCAGATGTTACCCAGGATAACTCGAACAGGATCTCCAGAGCAAAACAAAACGAGCAGGCAAAGGCATGAACCAACCTTCCCCACAAAACTTATGATTTTTCTTTGGATGCAGGCACAATGAACATGACAGGAACATGACATGACATTGAGTCCTCACGTGCTCAATGCTTAGTGAGGCACAATTAATTTGCCATGTCAGCACAAGGTGTTTAAAAGGCACACACTTCTGTCAAATAAAAGTGTATAAATGGTCAGTAGGTTAGTTTGAGTATTCAAATGATCGTTGGGGACAACTTAAAAAGGCTATTTATATATTTCGCCATTTTTAATTACATTACATCAAATGGCAGAATAGCCTGGGAGACACTTGTACTTGTTCCGGTTTGTCATCCCGGTCCCTACACTCCATAAAGTTTTATCTAGACACTTCAACTTAATCAAAACAAGACTTTTAAACCCTTCTGACCGTTGACCGGGCTTATGTGGCATTGATATAGCTGAGGTGCGTGAGCTGATGATTTTTTTTATTAAAAAAATAAAATAAATAAATAAATAAATAAAAAATACTATTCTTCTTCTTCAGCCCCTACCGGGCCCCTTCGTTCTGCCCCCCCTCCCCCACCCCCTACCCCCCGTCTTCTTCTTCTTCAACCCCTTCCCTCCTCGTTCTGCCCCCCCTCCCTCCTCTTCTTCTTCTTCTTC